TGTAACAGACAATAAGCTCAATGAGGGCAAAGACTGGGTTTTGACAAAACTTTGTAAATGTTTATTGAATGAATATTCCATCTTTATGCATAGTGTACAGAGTGCCAGGCTTGGAGTCTGGAAAACATCTTCCTGAGTTCAAATCTGGCCTCAGTTACTTACTTACTGGCTGTGTGACCCTTGACAAGTCATTTAATCCTGTTTGCCTCAGTTTTCTCATCTGTAAAATGAGCTGCAGAAGGAAATGGCAAACCACTTCAGTATATCTGCCAAGAAAACTTCAAATGGAGTCATGAAGAATCAGACACAACTGAAAAACTACTCAACAGCACTCTCTTAGTGCAGAATCCACTCCTCAAGTGAAGGCTAGGTGTTACAGAAGGGATTCATGCTTCCAGGAAGGATTGTGCAAATGGGGTCACAAAAAGTCAGACGGGACTTAAAAAACATGACTCACAACAAAGGACACTAAACATTCAAGTTATTCTGTAAGTTAATTGGTCAACAAATACCTATAGCACATTCCCAGTGCCTGGTTCTAAGTTCTGGGGACACAAAATAACATAGAAGACCGTTCATCAAGGGGCTCATAATTTAATGGGGGACACAATATGCAAACAATTATGTGCAATCAATATATACACAGGATCAATTGGAGATAATCAACAGAAGGAAAATCCTAGAATTCAAGGAGATCAGGAAAGGCTTCTTGTAGAAAGTAAGATTTTAGCTGGGATCTGAAGGAAAGAGAAGCCAGGAGGTGGAGATGAGAGAGAAAATTCCAGGCTTGGGCAACAGCAGGAGAAAATGCTTGGAACTGGGAGATGATCCAGCTAAAGGAGGAAATATGATGTCTAAGAAGATTAGATAAGTAGGGGGTGGAGAGGCAGGTTATGAAGGACTTTGAAAAATTTTGTATTTGATCCTAAAGGTGACAGGGAGCCACTGGAGTTTATTGAATGTGACAGGGACACAGTGTGTGTGACATGGACAGACCTCAACTTTTGGAAGATCACTTTAACAGCTGAGAGAAGAATGACCTGGAGTGGGGAGAGGAAAATGAAGGGGCTACATAAGAAGATCTCATGGTAGGTGGCACTGAGAAGATGCACAAGAGGCAATGAGAAAGTTTACAGAGCCCACAGGCAGAGGGTAGAGGTCTTCAATTAACCTTGATACCATTACTAAATATTGTGATATTTCAAAGGAACAAAAGACCTCCACCAGCCTTGAATGCAACAGCCCTAATGGACTCAAGTGTGTTTATTCTGGATCACTGGGGAATGTTCTATAAATGCTGTTCTCCCCCTCTTTTAATGCTTCCTGGTAAGACTATCTTTAAAGGCCCTGTAATCATTTTAATAACTTTATATAAACACTTTTTGGCTACAAAGAGAGAAAGCTGTATCTAGCAATATCTGGAAACATTAAACAAATTTAATTTATATCCAGGGTCAAATTTTATTCTTTGCACATAAGCCTCAGAAAAGAAGAAATTTAGTTTTAAGTTTAAAACTATTCCCTTGATCTTAATCTAATGACCATCGAGCAAGATGATTGCATGTTAGGAACAGCCCAGCAGTGAAGTTTGCTGCATTTGGAGTCCGGAAATTTGAGGTGGAATCTCCTTACTGCCTTGGGGAGACCTTGGATAAGTCATTCATTCAATCCTTCAGCCCTAACTTTCCACGTATGTAAAATTCAGGATTGGTCAAGGTGACCTCTAAGCAAAGACTACTGGATTTGGAGCCAGAAGCCCTCGGACCAAATTCCAGCTCTGCTACTTTTCACCTGTGTAATCTCAGAAAAGGTATTTAATGTTCCTGAGCTTCAGTTAACTGAACTGGGCTATTAACTTTTGAGGTCCCTCCTGGCTCTAAGTGCATGGTCCTAAGATACAAATAAATTCTCTTTTTACATACACACACACACACACACACACACACACACACACACACACACACCCCATTCTCTTGATACATAAAAGAATTCTCCTTAAAAACAGATTTAATAAAATTATGTTATCATTAGTAAGTAAATTACTAAGCATTGTTTAATTTGGTTGTTAGGGAGTTGTATGAGCTTTAAATCAAATTTAGAAACTACTTATTTATTCAGAATTTCTTCACAGAAATCATTACTATCTGGGCCAGATCTAAATAAGATCTTTTTATTGTCCTAGCACTCAGAATTCCTTCACTTTTAAATTCTCTTATTTTTAAATTTTTCATTCATATTACTCAGACATTTCTCTAAAGTATTTCATATATATTTCTATACATTTCTTTTAGATGTATTTTTTAAAATTATTTTTTGAAATTTTATATATTTATTTTTAGTTTTCAACATTCAGTTTTATAAAATTTTGAGTTCTAAATTTTGCCTCCTCCCTTCCCAAGATGGCATGCAATCTGATATAGGCTATATAAGTACAATCATATTAAGCGTATTTCCACATTACTCATGTTGTGAAAGAAGAATCAGAACAAAAGGGGAAAACCACAAGAAAAGAAAAAAGAGAGAAAATAGTATGCTTTGATCCACATTCAGACTCCATAGTTCTTTCTCTGAATGTGGATAGCATTTTCCATGAGTCTTTTGGAATTATCTTAGATCACTGAATTGCTGAGAAGAGCTAAGTCTATCTATCAAAGCTGGTCATTGCACAATGTTGCTGTTACTGTATACAATACACATATATTTCTAAAGCAACTGCCCATATGCAAACATGGCAAGTCTGAAAACTTGAGCAAATCAGAGCTACTAGAATTTATGCTAATTTATAAACAGGATGATAAAATACAAACTTTAGTCACTCCAGTGAAGTTTATGATATTGAAACCTAAATTTAAATTTTAAAAAATTCCACATCATAATTTGTAAATATCTACCCACAGGACTTAAGAGCAGGTACTTTTTTTTAGATTGTCTTGTTATTGCACCTATAAAGTGTGTAATAAATGCTTGTCAAATCAAGTTGTTTCACTTTCACTCTAAAAACAAAATGACATTTACATGTAACATTAATATCTTGCATCTGCTATAAACAAATTAGCTCTGGTTTTATAACTTTGGTGTGTACTCAAACACTTGTCACTGCAACTTTCTCCAGCAAGCTCCTGGAGGGCAACTGCTTTGTTTTTGTCTTTGTATACATTGTGCCAGCCCACGTAAATTAGTAACTCCTTGTTGAACATCCTATTCCGCTACACGAAATGGCCTCTCAGTTTAAAAATGTTTTAAATAAGTCCTAAAAATGCAATTGAAATTAAGATTCTGTATTTAGAACCCTATTTTCAACTTGATCTTCGTTTACATTTATGTAAAAATTTGGCATGAATTTTAAACCATTAGTAATAATAGCTATAATTTATATAGCGCTCATTCTGTGCCAGCTGTGCTACACACCTTTTCTTTTAAACAAATACATATGTATGTATGTATATATCACCTCATTTGAACCTCACAACAACACTTCCAGGTAGATAACATTTATTACTCCCACTTTGCAGTTGAGGAAATTGAAGCAAACAAAGGATAAGTGACTTGTCCAAGGGTCACATTGCTAGTGTCTGTGTCTGAATTTGAACTTGGGTCTTCCTGACTCCAGACCTCGTAGTCTATATATATAATGCACACCTATGAAAAATTTAGGTCACAATTCTTCCCCACTATCCCTAGTTTCGTTTCTTTGGAAAATCCAATATGCAATATTAATCTTCTTGAAAAGACAGAATGAGAAAAAACTCAAAAGAAAAATTATAATTGCAATCTGTAGTTTTGTTAGCCATATCATTAAAAACATAACAAAATAGCACCTAGCAGTCAGGGCTGGACTTATTCAGGAGCCAAGGAAAAAATGAGCTTTGGTTTGAAGGCCTCACTTGTCTCTTTGATTTCAAATCTAAGTTGTTAATTACACAAGCATTAAAGCAGTATGCTAATACTTACTGAACAATTACATTTGTAAGCCTTGTGGAGAAAGACCAGTTCTGAAGCAAAGAAGTAGCCAGCTCTACCTCATTCTCTTACTTTTTATATAAAAAATATAAAAACCCAAACCGAAAACAACTGAAAAAAATCTTTCTGTACTGAAGCAATTTTTTTGCTATACAAAATTTCCGTAAAAAGGATAATTGTTTTAAAAACAGGTTTGTAGGATCAACAAGATATTCTTAAGGTTTGTAATAAACTCTTTTAAAAGAAAAGGCAGCTGGGTGGCACAATGGATAGAGGAGCTTTGGATTTGAAGTCAGGAAGACCTCAGCTCCAATACAAACTCTGACACTAACTCTATGACCTTGTGCACTTAAGTGCTCTGTGCCTCAGTTTCCTCTATTGTAAAATGGGGATAAAAACTGCACCTACATTCTGGGGTTGTTGTAAAGATCAAATGAGATAATATTTGTAAAGCGCTTAGCCCAGTGCATGGCACATAGTAAGTACTATATAACAATGTTTATTAGCTATTATTATTATTGTTGTCGTTGTTCTGGGGCAGAATTTGAACTTAGGTCACCACGACTCCAAGACCATCGCACTGGCCACTTCCTGGTTTTGTCTGCCACAGCCATCCAGAGGGTAAGATCCCAACCTGTGACCCCAGAGCTCCCGTGGAGAGGGAGGGGGAAGTGCGGGACCGCGGGACCCGGCCTGGTTTGCGCCTGCTCCATCGGCTCCACCTCGGCCTTGACACCTCCTTCCCTCCCTCCCTACCTCCCTCAGATCCTGGAGGGGGCGGGGCGGGGCAGAGTCACGGCCGTCGCTGGCCCCGCCCTCCTCCGCCCTGGCCCGGCCTCCCGGGGAAGCCCCTTGGCCCCACCCCGGACCAGAGCCCGCCCTCCTCCTTCCTTCCTGTGGGATGTGCCCGCTCGCTTCGAGTCCCCCACCCGCCGGCCGGCTCTGTCAGGCCGCTGCGGCCTCGGGGACCCCAGGACGCCGGCGGGGTGCGGGCACGGAGGAGGGACCTTCCCCCTTCGCCCTCCTCCCCCCGTCCTCACCTCGCCACCAGTAGTTCTTGGACAGGTCGTGCCACGTCTGGTGCCGGGTGTGGTGGGTGCCGTCGGGCCCCAGGTGCGCCGCCTCGATGAGCCCCCGACGCCTCTCGGGCTGCAGCACCACCTCCAGCTCGGCGAAGCGCTGGCGATGGCGCTGCCGCCGCTGGTAGTAGAGGGTCCCGCCGCGCACCACGTAGCAGGCGGCCGCCTTGCGGATCTTGCGCTTGGCGTTGCCCTCGGTGCCTGGCGCGTACGGCTCCCGCTCGTTCGTCAGGTAACGCAGGATGGCCCGGTAGCTCTCCTCGCTCGACATCCTGGACGACTCGGTCACTTGGCCGCTCTGCCTCGGGCCCTGGCCTGTGACAACTGGAGGGCACACCGGCCCTGGGGAAGGCTGCTCTTCCTGTCCGTCTACCCCTCCGACGGCGCCCGCGGGACTAGGTGGAGGGGGCGGGGGGCGGTGACCGGAGGGTTTGTAACCAGGGGGAACTGCACTTTCCCAGCGCGCGGGATCCGCTTGTGGCCGACAAAATGGCTGCTGCACCACCGGAAGTGACGTAGGCTAAGAGGACGGCGTGTTGCGTACTCCACCTGAAGCGGCACGAATAGACTTCAAGGCGCATGGCCGTCATGTTGGAAGTGGGCAGGCCAGGACCGGAAGTGCTTTTGATTGGCCATCTTAAGTCCTGGCACTTTCCCTTTTGATTTTCCTCTCTTTAGTTGTGAGTAAGGGCTGTTGTGGCCGGAGTGACCAGAAACACTTCGTTTTTAAGGATCCGCGAGGTAAACAAAGAGATAAGTAGATATGCTTTTTTGTTCACCTATCACAGAATGAAGGAGTCTTACCCTCCCTCCTCCCACGTCACCCCCACTTTCCAGAGGGGGAAGGGTCCACGGGAATCTTATCAGACTTTTTCTATGTACTGATTGGTTTTGCTGATTATTTTGTCTTCACCCTCTTTTTATTTAAGTATTTGTTAAAACAAAAAAAAATTGCTTAAAAAAATCAGATGTAAGGAGTTTCCATTCTAACGAGGGAAGCCTACCCGCTGCCCAATTTGTGCCCAGGGAAAGGCATTTTAAAAGGGATGGCTCCCAGAGGGGGGAAACAAAAGATTAATAAAAATCGATTTTTTTTTAAAGAAGAGTCAAGATCCTGGATTCAAAATCCCTTTGCTGTCAGTCATATCATATAATATAGACTTATTAGTCTGTCCTTTAATCAACTACTAGCTTTTGAGTAGGGGTTCTTAACCTAAATTCATACTGGATATCTAGATATATCTATCTATAATTGGCTTCCTTTTTAATCCTATGTGTTTTATGCATTTAAAAACATTCCGAGGAGTTCACCAGACTGCTCGGGACAACCTTGACAAAGATTAAGTACCCCAGCACAAAGTACTAGAACACATCCATCCACCCAGTATTTAGCAGTTATCTTTATTCCTAAAATCCCTCCTCCACCTACTTGATAGTTGTTTGGGGTTCTGACCTGTAATTTCATTGGTGGGGAGAACCATCAATAAAGGGAAGCCCATGAATTGTTCTCACACCTACCCAAGGGAAGGAAGGTTCTGTAATTTATGTCTTAGAAAGTTGACTAGCCTTTGAGAGGTTAGGTGATTTTCACAAGGTCACCGACTCTGTGTCCGTGGTGAGTCTTGAACCAATTAACTAACCAGATCTTCCTAAGGCTAGTTCATTCATTATCCACTACTCTGAGCTGCTCACTTACCAAGAATTTCTGATCCTGAAAACATTGCACGTGCATAAAATGGGGTAATATTTCTGAAGTGTTTAGCAGTTTGTGGTACATAGGCATGATATAAATATTATCCTTAAAAAACCACTTGAATTCCAGTTCACATTATTACTAGTCTTTGATCAGCTTTTACCTAATCTTAGAAAAACAAAATCCTATCTTTCTTTCTTTTGTCCTAGGATAGTAGGATAGGTAATTTAACTCCTCCCTCTCCATTAAAATTTAATCTCATTTCTCTTTACTCCCTCTTACTTTTGAATGATACTTAGAAACTTTTTAGGTACTGAAAGCTGAGATGTCATTAAAAAAGCCAACAATACCAGTTAAGTGGCCCAGTGGATACAGCCCTGGGCTTGCAATCAGGAAGGAAGACCTGAGTTCAGCTTTGACCTCCGATCCCTGGGCAAGGCTTTTAAACAGTTTTGCCTCAGTTTCCTCCTCTGTAAAATGAGCTGGAGAAGGAAATGGCAAACCACTCCAGTATCTTTGTCAAGAAAACCCCAGATGAAGTCACAGTTGGACATGACTGTAACAACAATCAGCTGTAAAAAGGAGTTTACATTCTAATGGGGCAAGACTACTCACCAGCTAATTTGTGGCCAGGGAGGGGGACTTTGGTACTTAAAGTTATATTGAGGGTGAGATGAGTGGTGGGGACATAGGGAGTAAATTGACATACTAGTTAGGAAAAATTAAGTTAATTTGATCATGGTTCCCAAAATTGGAAAGGGGGAGGGACAGGAAAGAAAGTAAAGGCTGTGTGAGTCTAGAGGAGGTGGGCACATAGAAGGGACTCAAGTGAAGGAAGGTGGCTGGGACATTCCAGAAATAATGCTCTGTGAGAGAGCTACCAATTAGAAGAGCAGGGACCCCAGGTAGTTCCTCTAAGCAGGGGTGGGAAACCTGGAGCCTCAAGGCCACATGTGACCCTCTAGGTCCTTGGTGTGGCCTTTTGATTGAGTCCAAGTTTTACAGAACAAATTCTTTTATTAAGGGGATTTGTTCTGTGTAGTTTGGAGTCAGCCAAAGGGCTGAACTTGAGGACCTAGAGGGCCACATGTGGCCTCGAGGCTCCTGCCTAGAACATGGTCTGTGGCGCTGAGGAAAGTGGCTGCTGTTGCCCACGTGGTATTGGACAATAATACTTCCAATTGGAAAGCACTTTAGGAAGAGTCGTTATGGAATTTTGGAAGGAGTCTTGGGAAAATGGGTAAAAAGCCCACCTGAGGCGTTTTGTAGTTGTTACCTGGGTTGTCATTTAACCCTTTTTGTGCTTCAGTTTTCTCATCTAAAATGGGAGTGGGTGGGTTAGACTTGATGAGTCTCTAAGGGCCCTTTTGGCTCTAAATTTATGATCCTTACCATTGACTTTTCATTTCAATCTCTGCTTTCCTTTACAAAACCCTACCTCTTCTTCCACACCTGACTTTGTAGTCCCATGACCCCTCAATTTTCTCCCAAGCCACCTCCCCTGCTCTAGCCACTCTCTTTTCCTGATCTTGACCCCTTGGTAAACAAATTCAACACTACACAGTCTCCTCTCTTGAATCCCTAATTAGGCCTCTTACTTCATCAGCTGAGCCTCATGCCCACCATTCTCTACCTTTGCTCCTAAATATGTGCTGCTGAATTGAGGCAGAGTAGTCATTCTGACCAGGTCCACTGCAGATTTGTTACTCAACCTCGATTGGGCCCTCACTCTTTCTAGGTCATTCTACTACACCTTCCTCATCAATTCACTATCCCACTCTGTACATCGACTGTTCCAGATCTTTTCATCCCACCTCAAACCTCCCATGACTCCATCTCCATATTCAGCTGAGATCCTTGTCTCAATATTTTATAGAAAAAAACTGAAGCCATTTGCCTGTGAATTCCATCTTCTTTCATCTCCTGTCAGTCAAATGCCTTCTGCCACTGACCTCTTCTTTTAACCCTGTCTCACATGAAGTGGCCTTACTCCTTGCTAAGGCCATTCTATCCCGTCTCCTCCAACAGACTCCCCTTCATCATCCCCACTGTAATATTTTTAAACTCTATTAGCTTATTCCCTACAACCATACCCATGTCTCTACTATCCTAGAAAAACTCACTTGATTCTATTTCTCTTCACTTTGTAGCTCAATTCCTCGAAAAGGCCATCTACAGTACATGCCTCCACTTTTTGTTCTCACTCTCTTAACAACTATCACAGTTCAATTTCCAGCTTCATCATTCCATGTAAACTTCTCTCCAAGTTTACCAGAGATCTTAGTTGCCAAATCCAATGGCCTTTTCTCAGCCCTCCTTCTCCTTGACCTCTCTGCAGCCTTCGACATTGATCACCCTTTGAAACGCTCTTCTCAAGGTTTTTGGAAATTACACTGTCCTGGTTTTTCTCCCACCTAACTGCTCCTTTGCTGGATCTTCCTCCAGATCTCACCCTCTAACTGTAGGTGTCTCTCAGGGTTATGTACTGGATGATCCCATCAGCTCCCATGGATTTAATCACTATCTGTAGGCTGATAATCTTCAGATCTGCCTTTCCTGCCCCAACATCTCTGCTGACTTCCAATCTCACATCTCCAACTGCCTTTCAGATATGAATTGTATATCCAGTAGACGTAACTACATGGGTCTAAAACCGAACTCATTATCTCCCTCTCCCCCTCAACTTCCCTGTTACTGTAGTGGGCAACACCATCTTCCCAGTCCTTCAGGCTCACAACCTATGAGTCATCTTGGATTCCTCACTGTCACACCCCCCCATATCCAACTTTGCCAAAGCCTGTTTCACCTTTGTAATACTGGTGTTGCCACACTGCCACCACTCTAGTGCAGGCCCTCGTCACCTCACCTAATCTGTTGGCAATATCCTATGGGTGGGTCTGTCTGCCTCAAATCTCTCCTTTCTCATCCATCCTCTATTCAATGTTTTCCTAAAGCAAATGTCTGATGATGCCCTCACCCCCACCCCAATAAATTCCAGTGGCTCCCTATCATTTCCAGCTCCCTCCCATCTTTCCAGTTGTCTTTCACTCCCCCATATGCATACTTTCATTCAGTGACTTAAACACTGTCTCAACATTTTCTCTGGCCATCCCTCAGGTGTGGAACACTCTCTCCTCTCAACTTTGCCTACTGACTTAATTTAAATTCCATCTAAAATCTCAACTTTTACAGGAAATCTTTCCCAATACCTCTTAATTCCTGTATGTAGTTTGCTTTGTACATATCTTTCCTATTAGGTTATGAGCTCCTTGAGGGAAAATTTGCAGAAATCCACTATAGTCAGGAAAATTAGTTTCTCGTTGGACTGAAAATCAGGCCACAGTCAGTATGATCCTAGGTATTTTACACTAGTCCAAATTTCAAGACAAGCCAAATCAGTCTCTTCTGGCTGGTTTTAATATGGCCCACTCCATTTTCCTTATCCATGCTTATGCATAAAGCCTATGGTGCATTCTCACCTGCCTTAAAACAATCAAATTTCCTTAAAGCAAAAAGTTTTCTTTTCCATCAGGCCTTTTCCTACACTCCCAGCTGCTAGCACCACACATTTTTGTATATACAACCCCTAGATTAGAGGAGCAAGACTGTTTATTTCCTTTGTATCCCCAGGGCCTCTGGGAAAATGAATAGTTTTAAAAATGCCGATTGATTGACATACTGGTGTGGTCAAATAGCCAGAATTGAATCCTAGAAATTAGTTTTAGAATCCTAATGTAAAACAACTAACTCATTAAGGAAGCTCACCAAGTAGGGGAGAATATACCCAAGTGCACAGTTTCCAAAAGCAAAATGAGTCACAAAGACTTGCAAGTCACAGTAATTACTTCTGGGAGGAAGAGCTTTGAAACCACACTATGGGATTAACTGCTCAGCTGAAACAAATCTGAGCAAATGTGTGATGTTTCTTTGACAAAATCACCAACAAGAAATACTTTATCCCACTATGTCAGACGTAAAATACCATTAAAAAACCTAAAATTAAAAATTGTTACTTATGAATCTAGAACTTGATTACATTTAATAATAGATTGGAGGAATGGCCAAATAAATTATGGCCTGTGAATGTAATGCAGTATTACTGTGACAGACAGTGCAGACAGTGAATACAGGACTGATGCAAAGTAAATATAGTCAAGAAAACAATATAGTTACTACAATTAAATGAAAAGAATAACATCTACAAAACAACTGAAACTGAGCAAATAAAGAACAAACTTGACCCCAAAAAACAGATACTAAAAGACACCTTCCCTTCCTCTCCAGAGGTGAGGAATCCATGGTTGTTGAATCATAACACTGCGTATATCACATTTTTTTTTCAATGTACTGGACTTCTTTGTTATTCCTCTTTTAAAAAATTGTAATGGCTCTCTGCCAGAAGGAAAAGGATACAGGGTGAAATGTAGGCAATGTAAAAAGATAATAAATTCATTTGAAAAATAGCTCTCTTTGTGGTAGCAAAGAACTGGAAACTGCAGGGATGCCTATTAACTGGAGAATGGCTGAATAAGTTGTGGTATATGTATCTGATGGAATACTACTGTGGTATAAGAAATGAGCTCAATGACCTTAGAAAAACATGCACAATAAAGAGCAAAATGAACAGAACCAAGAAAACACGGTATACAGTAACAACAATACTGTTCTAAGAACGACTTTGAATAAGTTATTAACTATTATAAATACCTAAATTAACTGTAAGAGAAGACGCTATCTGCATCCAGAGGAAGAACTGATAAATAGAAAAATGCACAAAATAATTTTACACATATACCTATTTGTGCTTAATGGTAACCATGCCTAGGGCTGGGGGAGGGGAGGGAAGGAAGGAAAAAAGAAATTTTAACTGATAGTTTTGTTGTACATTTGAAAGGAACAGCAATTTGTGCATATTAAGAGTTGTAGTTTTGTGTAAAATCATCTTTATGTTACAGAAATGCTTGTTCCATAAATTAAAAATAAAAAGAATGATTTTTAACATTGGCATATGTGTCATTGCCAAAACTAAGTGAACTAAGAATCTAGCAATCTGCATAAAGTCAGAGCCAAATGATCTAATTTTATGGTGTTTTTTTAATGTCATATGAAAATACTGGA